TATGATTTGTTGAATGTAAAACTGATGATCTGCCCTGTAAATTTTCACTCAATTCACAATAAAACCTTAAAAAAGAAAAAAATCCATAGGACTATTCGTGGCGCTGCGGGTTAATGCGCTGGATTGCAGCGTTGGTTTAAATCACAAGGTCAGCAGTTCAAGCTCACCAGATGCTCCTCAGTAACCCTATACAGGGTCATTATGGGTCAGAACTGACTCGATAGAACTTAACAACAACATACAAAGAAGAGTGAACCGTAATGTAAACTATGGATTTTGTTTATTAATAATATATCAATATGGATTCATCATTCACAACAATGTGGCACAGGAATACAAGATGTTAACAGGAGAAATAATATGTGTGTGGGGGGGAGGTGTAAATGAAAAAGCTCTGTACTTTCTGCACAGTATTTCTGTAAACCTAAAACTACTCTTAAAAAATAAAGCCTATTAAAGAGAGAGCGAGAAAAGCCCAGATGTAAAATACAAACCCATGACTATGAGGGTTAGAATGTGTGGCACACAAAGGCTAGCCAGATGTGGAAATGGTCCTCATTAATCCTCAGATGACAACAGGAGCTGGTTGGAAATAATGCAGAATTTATGGCTAAACATATTTATACTAATTTCTAAAGTAAAATCGCTTAGCAAAAAACAAGTAACTAATTTCATAGGTTTTTCCGAGGCTTAAATACAAAATTAGAATAAATTAATTCTAAGATACATGCTAGTTTTTAAAACCATCCAATAGAAGACAGGAGAAATAATGTAGTTTCCATTACACTCCACAAAAACTTTAAAATCACATTGTCTCACTGAATCCTTCCAACAACCCTCAGTAATGTGGTAAATAGTACTGATTGACTGACCAAACTTGAAACACCATTCCTTCTCCCCTGCTTTCCTCTATCGTAGAGACTGTTGTTGTTGTTGTTAAGTGCCATCGAGTCAGTCCCGAGGAGTGGCTGGTGAGTTTGAACCACATGGTTCCAGCCAAAGAGCTACAAGTGGATATCCCTACGGATGACTTCCCTTGCCAAGTTAAAAGAAGAAGCCTCAGTAGAAGAAAAACAGTTTTTTCCCTTTAGTTTTTTGGCTCTTCCTATTCTTTATGTGTGAAACACAGACATGAGGCCTGGAGCTATAAGAACCATTTTGTGCTTATTAGGTAAAAGGCATCATGCAAAGGACTATGCACTAAGGATAGTGTAATGAAAAGATGGTGGTGGTTGGTGGTTGTGTGCCACCAAGTTAGTTCCAATGCACAGCAGCTCTGTACAGGGTGTCCAAGGTTGTAAATCTTTACAGGAACAGAAAGTCTAATATTTTCCCCACGGAGCAACTAGCAGATTCAAACTACTGACCTTGCGGTTAGCAGCCTAGCTCAAAATCCACTACGATTCATCTAACAAAAAGATGAAGACAGCCTACCATCCTCGTGATAAGACTTCCCAGCTCTTGATTGCTTATGTGAGACAAATGCACAATTTATATAAGCCTGGTGTGGTGCAGTAGGCTCAGCAATGGACTGCTAACCACAAGGTAGGAAGTTCAATCCCACTAGCTGCTCCTTGGAAGCCCTGTACAATAGGGTTGCTATGAGTCGGAACCGACTGAACGACACCATTATAGCAGTGTGTCATTGATTGCCTGTCCAGAAAAGAAACATGGATGATACTCTCCCGGACAAGATTTTCAAAAAGTTGCAGCAAAATATTCTATAGGAGTGAAAGAAAGTTTTCATTATTCTGAAATCTTCTGGTAGAAATGAAAATCAGAGTATAATACCTATGAAACTTCTGCTTTTGACTTATTTAATAACTTTATTGTTCAGAATGTATAATAAAGCAAGTTATAACTGATACCCTCAGTATTCCAACCAGAAACATGAAGTAAAAGGACCATATTATCTTAATATTATAAAATAGTCAGAAAATAATCGAAAGGACATTCTCAAACATATGAGGGGTCTTCAAAAAGTTCATAGAAAATTTACATTTTTGCACCAAAATAAACTTGCACTAACTTGTCTGAACAGGATCTAGTCTGCAGCACTATGAAGGATAAGA